TGATAACATCCTCCATGTTGAGCTTTAAATGACTTCTACCCTCAGGCTTACATGGTTGCCCGCATTCTCCACCATATGTAACACACCACCTCTTTTCCAGGTAGGATTTTGTCACGGATCTTGTAACCACAGCCTTCTAGGGCCACAGGTGGCACCCTGGGCCCTTTCTGTGAGCACACGGCCATAGGTCGCCGGGAGGTGGGAGACGGCTGGCGCAAGTCAGCATTAATGCAGAGTAGGCGTCTGCCTGCTCAAAATGGCAGGCGCCTACTCTGCTTCCGCTTTGGAGGACATGGAGGCAGCCGGCAAGAGGAGGGATCTGGCAAGAAGATCGCTCCTCCCGCAAACAGGCTGTGGGGAACGTTGCCGCGCGTTACCATGGCAACTCGCCACACAGCATTGCACGGAAGAACAGAGGAGCTGAAGCTGAGGAGAGCTGAAGCTGAGGCATACAGCTACTGGAGGCTGTTTGCAACTGTGGTCACAAAATTCAATGTTCTGGGAGAATTGGAAGCAGCTCCATTTTTTTGGGGGCCCCTTACACAGCTCAAGGTCTGGGCCCCCAGGGCCTGACGGTGAGTATGCCCATAAGGCCCACTCATAAGTCCACTTATATGTTCCACCCACCCATGAGTTCGCTCACAGGGAGTGGAGTGTGTAGGGGATGTGTTATGTGTTATTGTAGAGGATCTAATATGTGTGCTTATGGTATGTAGTGTATAGGGTTACCAGTTTGTGCAGGTGATGTAGTGTGTTTGTGTGTAGTGGAAGCAGTGTGTATTTGTGTATAAGGATGTATTATGTGTTTCTGGTTGTGTGTAAGGGATGCATTGTGTGAATCTGTGTTTGTATGCATAAGGGATGCAAGGTGTGTGTCTGTATGTGTGTGCATTGAGTGTAAGAGATGCATTGTGTTTCTCTGTGTATGTAAGAAAAGCAGTGTGTGTGTTTGCATGTGTGTGTAAGGGTTTGCATTGTGTGTTTCTGTGTATGCGTGCAAAGGATGTATTGTCTTTGTGTGTAAGGGTTGCATTGTGTGTGTGTGTGTGCAATGGATGCATTGTGTGTTTCTCTGTGTGTAAGGGAAGCATGTTGTGTTTCTGTGTGTGTAGGGATGCATTATGTGTTTCTGTGTATGTATAGGGATGCATTGTGTGTGTGTGTGCGCGTAGTGTGAAAGAGCTCCCTGTCTTGCCCCCTGTCCTATAGAGCTGTCCCTTCTGTCCCTTAGAGCTCTCCCTTGCCCCTTAGTGGTCTCTACGCTCACCCACCCTCCCCTAGCGGTCTCTTCTCACACTCACCCACCCTCCCTGTGCTCTTCTCACCCCCCCACACTCCCTGTGTTCTTCTCATCCCCCTCCACGTGTTCTCCTCACCCCCCGTGTTCTTCTTACCCCCCTCCTACCTGTGTTCTTCTTACTTCCCCTTGTTCTTCTTACTTCCCCAGTTCTTCTTACTCCCCACCTCTTCTTCTTACTCCCCCTTCTTCTTCTTACTCCTCATTTTTCTTCTTACCCCTCTTCTTCTTCTTACTCCCCCACTCTTCTTCTTCTTACTCCCCACTCTTCTTCTTCTTACTCCCCACTCTTTTTCTTACTCACCCCTTCTTCTTCTTCTTACCCCCCTCTTTCTTATCTCCCCTCCTTCTTACTCCGCCCTCCCCTCCTTCTTACTCCACCCTCCCCCTTTTCTTATTCCACCTCTCCCTCTTCTTACTCCCCCCTCTTTTTCTTACTCCCTCCTCTTCTTCTTCTTACTCCCCCATCTTTTTCTTACTCACCCCTTCTTCTTCTTTCCCCCTCTTTTTCTTTTCTCCCC